CTTGGACTCCGCGCGGTTTGAGGGGGAGTGTTGGAGAGACAAACGCGCCCGGATTCCTCGCAACTAACATTTGCCTTTTCTGGACTATCGTATCTTGTTGACAGTTCGATACGATTCACCTCAGCAACGCTCGTTATTTGATATTTCCACTTATTAGACTTATGATAAACTCATATCAACGGTATCGTTATCTTTGTTCCTGGACGTATCCTGGGATTAAGTACCGCGCGCGTCTCGTACGCCAACCTCATCTTTGCATTGTCCCGGAAGACGTGCTGAGTGAGGTGAGACGCGCGCCATACCCTGTCGTTTGTTTACCGTTTGCTTACATGTATCCTGTAGCCTTTGTTGTCTTGCTACAGGTAATCTACTATCTTTGCATTGTCCCGGAAGACGTGCTGAGTGAGCCTTTGTTGTCTTGCTACAGACGACAACTACGTCTTCGCAGAGATCATTCATAGCCAAAATCTGACACTCAGAGGGGCTTGTCTATAGCCATTATGCCTCTTCAGCCGGATATTCAGCCTTCGGTACTACTGATAACCATTGCATGAGTATACCATTCAGTTAGGACATTTTTACATTACTATAAAGTACACCGAGCGGTAAATCCCAAGGTAATAAGTTGTAAATGGTTGCGTGAAGGCCCGCCGACCGCTGCTGAGAGGCTTCAGCTACCGTCCGCTTAGTCAGCCTCGGGGATCTCGGCGATGACATTTGTGCCAGCCGTCCTATAGCGTTCTCCTCCTCTTGTTCGTTCTGTATCCGGTAATAAATTGAAAATAGATTTGTATTATATAACACTGCACGTGCGCCCTAGTAAAGGAGGAGCGAGAACGCTAAGGATGGATGGTTTAGGTTAGTCTCCCAAAGGCGACCGATTAAATGCCTCCCTTATAAGGCAGGTGGAGGGCAGTCGGCATATAACGGTCTGCCGCGGATCGCGCCCCCTTAGTACGGGTACGCATATTCGATATCACGTGACTACTCCCACGGCCACCTCGACAGACTCACCGTTTCGTACCCAGGTCTCCATGTAGCGAGGGAAAAACATATGATATGGCAGGAGTACCTGCTGGTACTGATGCAACTTGAGTAGTCTCAGATTTTTTGGCGCTCTCTTTCCGCTGTAGGAGCATTAACTTCGTTCGGTACATGCTGCTGACATCAGCAGCTCTGGCCGTCCCAAAAGGGGAACATGTTGAAGCTCTACCCTTCAGAGCACATTTTAAAGACACCACGCTCAGTAGCATACCTCAATATGGCGTAAAAACATATATGTATTGCTACTCATTACTTCTACCAGCCCATGGGGGGAATGGATTATTATCAATATGCGCTGGAGCCTATCATGGTACAGAATAGGCTTTATCGGTCGATACGGCACCCAAAACAGACACTAATTGAGCACAACTTTGGTGTCACTTCAAACTATGTACCTGAAGCTCATTAATTCTTTCTAGAGGGTTGCGACGCGCTGGGGAACGCGGTTAATCTGACGATTCCATAACACTAATGAGGTCACGTGATCGGAATATGCGCACCACGCCAAATGCCGCGCGACTAGATGCAGCCTAGGTTTAGGTTGGGTTTAGGAGCCTGACATAGGGCCTCAAAATTGGCCGTTTATGTCCGCACTAGGATCAAACATATATACCAGTATGCCGGGGTCCTCGTCGACGACTCGATTCATGATCGATGTTCAGTGCACGGTTCAAGTCTGTATTTTGTCCCATTGCAATGCCCATCCGTGCGCCCTTCAGGGTTCACATTGATGAATGCACTTCCATGGCTAGTGTGCGGCTGGCATCGCGCCTTCCTGCCAAACCGACTGTCTGCTAGTACCGCAACGATCTTCTCGGATGGTGCGCAGGCGAACGGAACGTCATGGATGTTGAGTCTCTTGTTCTGAGGCGGACTGTTCACGGATGGAAGAATGGCCGAGCCGAGGAGCACAATTTTACGGTGAGATTACCTATCCTCCCGCCAGTTCAGCGCTGCGTATGTCGCTAACGGTCTTTGGTCTCACACAAGATGAGCTGTTACTCAGAGAATACCTTAAGCTTCTCTGTTCCATACGGATCGCCCACCCTACATGTCTGATGGACTGTCGAAGGTAACACAACTTTAATGAACATTGATGTTCAGCATAGCCCACGAGTCATCCTCGTCTCGTTTGGTTCCGCGGCAATGCGCTGTGCCTTCATCAGGTGGACAATGCGTCTGCTTCCAAGTCTGTGAGACGGCTGCACGCTAGAAAAACTTCTCAATGGGTGTAGCATGACCAGATCAATGGAGCTTTAGGGCTGCTCAATTCTCAACTGACACCCGTCGTTCAAGCCGTCGTTCGTTCAATCGCACCCAAAAGAGTGAGGAAGAAGTGATGGCAGATGATTCGAGACAAATTGGAGACCATGCTCATTTGATTTTTCTCCCCCAGCTGGCCATCGGCGCGGCTTGGCGATCTCTTCTTTCTCATTATTTTTAGCACGACGGATTGAACGACTGAACGAACGACAGGAGGCAGTTGAGAATTGAGCAGCCCTTATAAGTGTGCTGCCTCGACTTCGCCAGCCTCAGGTCCGCCTCTTCCATTCTACCTTGGAAAGTGTGTAGGATTCACATTTGTTTCTTGCATAGTATTCAGTTCCTCGTGACAAGGCGAACGGAGATATAACCTGACGAGCACCGTCGAGTTCACCATCCACAAAATATATCCATACTGCACTGAACGCACGTACTATAAAACTATCCAGGATGTCTGTGTGAGTCATGCCCTCCAATGTCATGATGGTCTCCAGCAGGAGGGTGCCGAATACAGGCGGCAGGTGGTGGAACTGAAAACACGACTGGAAGGCCTGGGACTGGAGGCAGAGGCTTCCCACGTGAATGGTCTATCCGACTCTATCGAAGCTTTCTGAGACTCCCACGAACCGCGCTCCCGCGGACTTTGATTTATCTAGTACACAGGCAAGTCAATACGAAGAGTCTCTGTATAAACCATGTCCATAGGCCTTTTCTAGAGTCCCTCAAACCGAGGAAGTGACGCGTTGGAGGATTCTAGTCGCGTTTCGCGACCGGATTTGAAGCCGCCCAAGATCGAAGTTTATATCGGTAATATTGATATTGTGAAGAAAGAAGAATATATCAGCCTCTCTTCTGCGCTCCAGCAGTATAAGCAAGAGGTGTCGACATTAATTCTCTCTCATTGGGCCAGTTTCTAATATTCATGCGCTGCATAGGTGGTAACCGAGCATGATCTGTCCAAAGCAGTCAAGCGAGAGAGGTCATTGGTACGTCCGGCGTTTTCGACCAGAAACTGTACATGTCTGCTGATCAGCGCATCCCACAGATTTCGGTTTCTTTCGAACACGGAAAAAAAGGGTGGGTCCCGCATTTCGGTTCGGGCCATCTGCTGTGAAGACAAAGGAGACCCAACCTCCCGGGAAGGCAGCGCGCCTTCAGTCGGAGACAGTCGCATCCAAGCGTGAGCTGATTCCAATCAAGAAGGAGGAAGCGATCATCGTTGATATAGATACGGTAAAACAGCCAGCTATGTGGTGGGAACGTGCAACAGCTCATAGTCCAGATAACTCCTCGCCACATTGGTTTACCTCAGGACAAAAATAGGGACGGCACATCATGGGGTGTTGCGTTTCCTACTCCGGCTGTCAATCCCTATATGCCGGCGTCTCCAGGCAGACCGGGACTGATGTTCTCCATGCGCGAGGAATTGCTAAAGGCCTTCTTGGTCTGTCTTCCGGCAGGCCACGAAGACACCAGTCAAGTGGTAGAACGGAGGGATAATAGCTCCGCCGCGGTCGCATCGCACACTGCATCGAACGATAGCTCTCGCGCTTCGAAAAGGCCTTCGCAGGGATACAAATTCCCCACTCCCTCACGAGCAAGCTCCTACATACCTATGTCCCTACAGTCAATCGTGCCGTAGTGCGGCATATCCTTCAGGCGGTTGATAATATCAGTAGGTAGTACTGCCGTGCTACCGTACAAGATATGTTCACGGGGAGATCATGATATGATAACACGTATCCGAGCCTGGCAATATCAGTAGCTCTAGCAGATGATACAGTCGGTTCCTGGCTTAACGAGCCGGGCCTCAAGCATAGCACGGAGTGTACCATTTGGCGTGAAGTAACTTGTACCACTGATGATGACGATACAGGTGAGAAACACGAGGGGCTATGATGACGCCACAACGACAAACAGCACTCACTCATACATCAGATTGCCGCCCATCAAGCTCTCATCGAGGCCGACCTGGATCCCTTGGCTATGCACATTGCCGACGTACAGCTGTGTGGACGACTTCAGTCTCAGAGTTATACTAGGTTTCGCTTTCGCCTTCCCTCCTGGAGGCGTGGAAGGTGTCTCAGGAGGGGATGAATATCGGCTTTCTCGGATCACGAGCCGCGAGTCTATCCACGTCGGAGGAGAATGCTCGAGGATCTCGAGTGAGACCAACCACGAGCCGGGCTTGAGTGTCTTGCCGTGCGCATATGTGTCGTATGGACTGGCCACTAGAAACGAGAGTCGGAATAGACGGCCTGAAAGGTACTTCACTGAATACTCGTCAGAATTGTTCGGATATATTTCGTACCTTTTGCAACGAATTCTAAGGAAACTTTACCCCCTACCCTCATCCTCTTCTGGAACAAGGGCACTTCGAAGTGAGCGGCAAATGCTGCATCGTCATTCGTCATATGTACGACTCTGACCCTATCTTTAGCCCCCCTACCCTGCCCTATCTCATCTATGGCCTGTCCGCCGTCGGCGGCAGCATCGGGGGTACCGAAAAGGATTTGGTCGGTGCCAGTGATGGGAGAAAATATGTCGGACGACCTAATCCGCTGAAAGAGAGCATCGTCCGAATTTAGCATGCATGCGAGCCGTATCTCAGATTTGGTGCTCTCAGTAAGGGGGGCGGAGAACTTGAGTAGAGTGAGGGTCAAGTCCCGGCTTGGTCCGTCCGTAGGTTCACTCGGCCACTCGTCGAATGCAGAATAGCTACCCGAGAACGAGCGCGATGGTCCTGGCATGGGGGAAGGCGTTCGCGCGGCTGCACGTGTCGGGCGCTTCAATATCGCCCAGTAAATCGGTGTATGGCCCTCAATGCTCTTCTCTTGCAGTAGCAAAGAGAAGGATATATCATGCATGATACACGTATCTGCACAACTCTCTAAAATCCCGATAGCGCTCTCGTCGTTGGCTGTGCTCCCCTCTGAGAGTTGCACCACGATGCCGTGCAGCAGGTTTGATATCGTAGCGCGCACTTGACGGGCTGTCCGCATGCCAGCTAGGCTGAATGACCACCAGGGCTTAGATTGTCCACTGGACGCATGAAGCCTGCTTTTCGCGCTCGATAAAGAATCTCCTTGTGCAGTACTGGGGGAATTACTCCCGGACGCGATGGCAGATGTCGAAGGGACCCTAGATTTCTCTTCAGCCGCCAAAGACGGATTTACGCTAGACGGACCAGCAGTCAACGAGTCATACGAGGGAGGAGCGTCGGCTGGAGTAGGATCTTCAGGGAGTGGGACCTTGTCAACTATCATGGCGGATATTCGTGTATGACTCCCGCTGCGGAGGTACGGTATAAGAAAAAGATATTGAGATAAAATGGATATTACGCACCTGTAATTCTATGATATATGGTGCCAGCGCGGCTCGAGCGTTTCGCAGCTACAGGTCGGAGTGAAGAACGACAAGTTGTGCACTTCTGCGAGAGACTACGGTCCAAGGCGACTAATGACCTCGGCACGTGTACATGTGTGCACAGCTTACACAGCCCTCTTGATCTCAGGAACGGATGACAATTTGTCGATCTTTTCGAAACCTTTCATAAAAAGTAATACGTTATTCGAATCTGTGTGATTTGCCGGAGTCCGACAGAATGCGACGCCTCTTCATCCACGCCAATACAAGTACCAGAATCATTATTGCAAATGAGGCGCCACATCGGCTTGAGATATCACCAACAGATCTACACTACACTGCCAGGGCTCGCCGTATTATCATGATGTCGAATGTCGCGCATTTGCGATGAGTGGCTACTTGGGGTGTGGGGCTGGGATATGGGAGGATACTGTCTGCAAGGAGTTCGAAGTTGACTTAACTACCTAGAACTCGGTCTGGATGAGATACGCTCCACTCACCCGATGAAAGAGTCCAGCACAATAATCTCGGAGTCACTGATTCGCCGCCCCGAAGCATTGCTGAGCACGCGCAGCTCAACGGCAGGCGAACGAGAACGAGCCTTTGGCAGATTGGGACCAGCCCCTGTGCGCGTTGACTTGAAACCGCACGCGCTAGAGAGAAATTCTCAGCCGAGCTCGAAACGGATAAGCACGCTACGCACATCTTCATAGGGCATCCGTCTTCCCGCAATACCATGCCTTGGTATGTGCGACATGCGCACGTACACCTGGCGAGAAATGGTAGTGGTAGGTCGTCGGTGCAAAGGGGAACTTACACGGCTACGACTGACGCAATCGAACAGTAAGCTCGACCAATGGACACCTGCGTAATGACTCACATGCGACCATTCCCGTTGTCTGCCAGATGATAAATTATTGCGGATCATGATCACGCGTCGAATGAGCACAAACACACTTACATACATCAAGGGAACTGCGGACCCCGGTCGTAAGGTGACGTGAATGCGATGGCAATGAAGGAGTATAATGGATGCCGTACCACTCGTCATCAATATAGATACACCCTGTGTGATTTGTGAGCTCAGTAGAACGCCGACGCAATAAATGGGAGGGCAGACCATTGCAGACAGACAAGGGAACATAGGAATCATCAGGTACACACAACCTTGGCGATACAGCATGGTAACCGTATTTACGATGTACGCCTTTCCCCTTGTGCCGGGGAAGGTTTTGCGATACAATCGATGGAGACCGACAAACCCTAGTATAGCCCATAGAGTTTCGAGCGAACAGACTACAGACACTCTCATCAAAGCGTCGAAAATGTTGGAATCATGATTGGACGCACGGTAAGCCGCGAGAAGCAGGTGGGTGACATCATCCTGCCATACTCCACCCGCTTGCACCACAGCTGCATAGAAAACATTGAGCTCTACAGTATCGAGTGAAAGCAGGAAGGACCCACAGCGAATGATTATGACCCAGAGAGCGATTTGCAGTATGATCGCACTTATGCTGATGGACTGCTTTTTCCATATCTCGACTCTGTTAGCGGAGGAGACGTCGTTAGCTGGGGTGAAGGGAGGGGAGGAGTAAGGACATACATCCGACCGCTGAGAATAAACAAGGCCAGACCATGAGCGACAGCGTTCGTAGCCTGTGCCATCGGAGATACAGGTGGGCGGAACCGAGACGCAGAAAGAGATCGACCTCACCTGGAATGAAAAATGCAAGGTCTATCCCAACGTTGGTCAAGTCCGTGGTGAATAGCAGTAAGGCAAATGGGCCTCACGTCAAAATACGAGCGCTGGTCGATAATGGCGAGGTCGATGGCTAGACACGCAGCCGTGGTCCATCGACACATGAAGTACACGGCTGCTCCCCATTTGCATACGTGCCGGCTTCGCAGGAGTGACCAGTCGAACGGAAGTCCGTGTATCAACTCCCATCTACGACACAATTCATGGCACCTGGCATGCTCGAATGATTGACATACGTACGAGTATACCCCGCACAGCACATGCATGATGAAAGAGGTCACATCTACATGCCAGCGTGAGCGCGAGAAGGGTCGCTTATCCACACCTCGCTCGCCTTGTTGCTTCTGTATGTCCTCCGGAGACTGACCATTCCAATACGACATTGGTTGACAGCGACCGTTGATGGATCCAACGTCGGGCTTCGCAGGGGACTAGGACAACGAGGGCGGAAAGAAAAGGGCAAACTGGTGCACGATGAGCATACCCATTATAATCCAGACCCACGGTAGCCTCACGGAGGGTTGTCCGTGTGCGCCACGCACGCATTCCACTTCTTAAGAAGTTGTTTCTGGCAAGTGGCAACGACCCTTGGGAAATATTCAGTACGAGCTTCAGCAGAGGTAAATACATAGGCGCCCCGATTACGATACGGAGATTGCCTAGCCTCGAGCTAGCCTCCTCAATCTTTCCGAAATTAAGCTACGTGATGGCAGTCCCCTGCTCTTCCATCAGCCCTGATTGTCCAGTCGGCAAACGGTTGCACTGAGTCCTCACCCGCCACTGTTCTGTATCTCTTGGGGCCTGGAGTCTCCTGTAGTCGATGGACGTAAGTACGCAGTGTCGTTCGGTTGCAGCTCTAAGGCCGCGAGACGCAATTCCGGTCCATACTTTCCGAAGCGAACCTGGGCACGCAGACAGTACCCGGTCTTCCTCGCAGATGACGAACTGACCTGCGACCCTATCCTATACCTGTGGCCTGTCATGACACCCCCATTGATTTCCTTCTGGTCCAGGCCTATTGTGTTACCCGGCCACGCGCCCAGGGCTGAGCGAAAAGCTCTGCGTCGCGGACCGAGCTTACCAACGGACCGTTTGTAACGACACCACGCACCTTCAAGTTTGCTGAAATAAGGCTCGCGAGCCCGCCAGAATCTCATGGAAAACCTGGGTACACTTCTTTGGAAGATAGGCTGACAGTGGGAAAGGCTATCAAAGCTGCCACAAACCTGGCACTGGCATTTACGGCATCGCGTCACCTACGTACTCGAGGGGATCCATGAGTCAAGCGCTAGCATGAATCATGCATATGCCACGAGCCACTGCCTCCTTGGGAGACCCCCTCACAGCACATATGCGGCTGTCTGAGGGTCTCCAAAAGAGCCGATATAGGAGACAACAGACGTGGAAGACCATCAGGTTCATATCAGAGTGAGCAAGACGACTCTAGCTCTAATGCGATCCTTGTCCGACTCGGACGACGGTGACGGAGGGTAATTTCGGATTTTGCAAGGCGATAACCCCTTATGGGGCCACTCATAATTTCAATTACTATAATTGTAGCAGATCAATGAGTAATCCAAAATTTTCCTGAATTGTGTCCCTCTCGAGTCGGATGGGCCGACTTCACCAAGGACCACATCCCCCAAAATGACTTCTCTGGCGTCGACGTCGTCGCAGTCTCTCTACGACCCCCGCCGACATGTCCGCGTCGATGCCGAGCGCGCCAGAGATGTCTCGAGCACGGACTTCCCGGGATACTGGCCGGACGAGGACCATTCTTGGAATCTGGAGAAATTCAAAGAGGTGCGCTCACCCCGAAGTCCATCGCGAAGCGGCGCTGACAGTCCGTTCTTCCGCAAGGGCAGAGGCTCCGCGTGAAGGTAACTCGCAAGTCGAATCGGTCCATTGAGTTCGATCTCGTCGGCGTGGATGCGTCGATAGCGAATGCGTTCAGACGGATACTAATCGCGGAGGTGCGTGCTCAACTCTATCTGCGCCCTTCACAGCACAGCCCGAATGTGACGATAATCGCGCAGGTCCCGATGGTGTGCATCGAGCATGTCTACGTCTTCAACAACACGACCGTCATGGTCGACGAAGTCTTCGCGCACCGGCTCGGCATGGTACCGCTCAACGTCGACCCCGCACTCATGGAAATGCGCGACTCCTCAGGCCAAGCGACCGACCGCAACACGCTCGTCTTCCGCCTGCAGGCCGCGTGCACGCGCAACAAGTCCGCGCCGAAGGACTCGACCGACCCCGCGCAGCTCTACCACAACTCGGAGGTGCTCTCGTCGCACCTCAAGTGGGAGCCGCAGGGCGAGCAGGACAGCGTGTTTGCGAACTGCCCGCCGGCGCCGACGAACCCCGACATCGTGCTCATGAAGCTCCGCCCAGGGCAGGAGGTGGATATGGAGCTGCACGCGGTAAAAGGCGTCGGGAAGGACCACGCGAAGTTCAGTCCAGTCGGTACGTCCCCGAGAGTTTCCTTCCTACTACTGGCCCTCCAGCTTAACCTACGATAGCCACCGCATCCTACCGCATCCTCCCCCTCATCGTCCTCAACCCCGCAAAACCCGTGCCCCCACACCTCGCGCACAAATTCCAAAAATGCTTCTCCCCAGGAGTCATCGACGTCGACCCGCAGACGCACGCGGTCAGCGTGAACGAGCAGAACATGCGCAAGGAGACCATGAGCCGCGAAGTCCTCCGGCACCCCGAATTCGAGGGCTGCGTCGAGCTCAAGCGCGTCCGTGATTATTTCTTATGTGAGTGCACCTGGACGTTGCCTCGCAAGAGCAGGGAGGCTGATTCCTCGGTAGTTAATATAGAGTCAGAAGGGCCGTATGCACCGGAACGGCTGTTCCCCGAGTCGATCAGGGTTATGAGAGAAAAGATCGCTACCATTCGTAAAGCTGCGCAGGCCCTACTATCTGAAAGTCTGGGTACGAATGGTGATGTCGATATGGAGGGTTAATAGCGTGCTTGCATATCCTCGTGCAATGACCCTTACAGTGTTGCTTGTGTTTTACGTGCATGGTGTAGCTACAGTACGACGACGGTTCAGGAAACGGACAAACAGACGAGGAAAATAACTTGTTATGGGGCCCATTCCATTCAACTTTATATTCAATTTCCAAAAACGATGACCGGATTTGCCTCATGGACACTACCGGAATTGAACCGGTCCCCTCTCGCAGATTTCTAGTGCTAAGCGAGCGTGATAACCATCTACACCAAGTGCCCATAAAATGGCAGGAAATATAAACTCAATGATGGAGTGATGTGAACAAGTCCTATTGGTCCTGTTGCCAGTGTGGTCACCCTCTACTAACTCTCATTTACATGCACAACCAAGAACCCCGTAGGCGCGCGCACCAGCCCCTCCGCGTCCCCGACCTGCGCCTCGGCCAAGCCCGGCAGCCGCGCCACCTCCCGCAGCCCCGCGCCCCCGTCCACGCGCTCGAACACGCGTACCCCGCCGCCGTTCACGCCGCCCGCGACGAGGTACCGCTCGTCTGGCCCGAACAATATCATCCCGCGCACGTGGTGCAGGCCCGTCTTCACCTCGCCGACGCGTGTCGGTGCGCTGGGCGGTGAGAGGGCGAAGATGGCGATGGTGTCCCCGCCGGGGGAGGGGTCGTTGCGGTTCGAGACGTAGAGATGGGATGTGGGGAAGGAGGGGCTGGCGGGGGCGAGGAGGATTTCGGCGGCGAGCATGCCGAGGGGTACGCCGGGGGGGATGGGGGGTGCATCTGCGGAGAGAGGCGTTTTTGGGGTATCGCTCGCGTGCGAGGGCGCGGGTGCGGGGATGTGCGTTGGGTGGGAGGTTATGAAGGTGGGCTGCGAGGAGGCAGAGAGCGGGGGGAAGGAGTGTACTGCGAGCGTGTTGGAAAGCTCGAGCACCGTGTACAGGGTGCCCTCTTGGGACAGGTCAGTGAGCAGGCCCGTGGATCCGTGCAATACGCTACGCACCGTGGACTACGACGTGTCTCGGCCCGCCGCCTGCCTGATAGTCGACCGCACCCGCAACGGACCAGCCGTTCTCTCGCTTCACGAGCCGCCAGGTCTTGTCCGCGCCTAAATCCGGTATGAGGACCTCCTCTCGCGAAGGAGGCTGGTAGACTTGGTGCGGATGCGAGGAGAGCTGGCGGTCCGGGTGCGGACCGGTTCCCTGTAGTTGTATCGGTGCATGGGTTGCCTTGGAGGGGAGATAAGGCGAGGACGAGGAGAGAGGGATCGACTGGACCGTGCCAGACGAATACTGGGGGAGTAGTTGGTTCATGTCAGGCAGACTCGTAGTACATGTTCAGAGCTCACATTTCCTATGATCAATCCCTGTCCTACCGCCAGGAGCGTACACGGGTCCGCCCCGCCGCTCTCAAGCACTCTCACAACAGTCCCCTTCCCCTCTTCGTCATACTTCACTTCCGCAACCTTCCCGTCCGCCTGTTCCAGCCCCGTAAACACTGTAGTCGGGTCGGACAGATGAGGCGTTATCCACGACGGATGGTGTCCGACCTCGACGCTGGACACGAGCCTGAGCGCAGGCGGGGACGTCGAGAACTCGACGGTGTATATGCTCGAGGAGTAGGAGGCGACGAGGATGCGGTAGGTGGACATGGCGAGTTCAGGGATTGCAATGATTCGGACGGGCTCTTATCAGAGTCTGCGGACCGATCGATGTTTCCTCGGTTGTGCCGACAAAGTCCCGGCGTATGCAGACAGTCCGCCGATGCACGGTGCGCCGGACCCATCTAGTTTCATCCAGTGAGGCTTTGATAGTATGTAGGATGAACAGATCAGGACACGGTTGAGGATGCACGACGGCAGCGCCACGGGCTCCGACCTCGCGTCGTCCTGCTACAACAAGGTCAGCTCTCCGTGCGCTTCTTCACCGACGAACATTACACGTGCCTTCACTGGCAAGCGATGACTGTAAGATCAGAGTGTCAGGACTGTCTGGATCTTATGTGGGCAGTCTGAGCCTCGAGATGGTCGTACGGGTGGAAATACCCGACATGGTAGAGCGCCTTCTACTTGCATACGAATAATCCTTGCATGACCCCCTTGAGCAAGAAAAGGATGGAGAGGCACTTTGCTAAGTGGACACTACCGGAATTGAACCGGTCCCCTCTCGCAAACATAACATGCTAAGCGAGCGTGATAACCATCTACACCAAGTGCCCATACGGGTGATCGGTCCCTCGGCATAACCAGTCCCAAGAGTGGCTCATATACTATGTATAGGAGTGAAATATAAGGGAAAATTGTTAATAATGCCCTTTCCCATCTTGATTGAAGACAGGAAATCAATGCGCCTCCTAAATACGACTTAGTAAAATCGCTCATGCGCGGGAGCTACTCCGAAAACCCGCTGTGGCACACCGTGCAAGGGATATTCCACTATCATATGGACAAGGTGATTTCTGATCACCATCATAAGGTGCGTGGGGACGAGTCATCCACTCCCATCCTCACGGATTCCTCCTCACCTGAGGGGGCGTACATTTACACTACTCATGTCGGAGTCGCCCCTGCATGCACAGCAACAGTAGAGCCCGTCATAAAACTCGCCTCGTCGCTCGCGAGGAACAGCATCACACTCGCCACCTCCCCCGGGTCGGCCAGCCTCCCCATCACATTCAGCGCCCCCATTGCCACCTTATCCTGCATCCCCCCGGGCGCCGCGTCCCAAAACACGCGCGTGTCCGTCGCCCCCGGCTGCACCGTGTTCACGCGTATGCCGTGCCTCGCGAACTCCTGCGCGCCCGCGAGGCCGAGCCCGCGCACGGCCCACTTGGACGCGACGTACGCGGAGAACGCGGGGTGGCCGTAGAGGGAGGCGACCGAGGAGGTGAGGACGATGGAGCACCCCTTGCCCTTGTGCGGGGATGCGATCATGGCGGCAGCCGAGTGCTTCATGCCCAGCCAAGCTAAGGGAGCGGTGAGGCCTCGGGGAATCACAACAAGTGCTGTGAATGGGGTACTCACGTCCTTTGACGTTCACGGCGAGTATCCTATCCAGCACGCTCTCGTCCGTCGTAAGCCACGGCTGCAGCAGGTGCGAGACACCCGCATTCAGCAACGCAACATCCAGCTTCCCCCACTTCTCCAAAGGTAGCTGACAACTCGCTTTCACATCCTTTTCCTTCGCCACATCTCCTCGAATGAACGTCACCGAGTCCTTGTATTGCTCCTTCAGCAGCTCAGCGTCTTTCTGGGCGGCCGAGAGGTCGATGTCGGCCAGAACCACCTTTGCCCCTTCAGCGAGGAACCTCTTCGTTGCTGCCAGACCTATCCCTCGCCCGGCACCAGTGATCAGGGCGACTTTGCCAGCGAGTCGACCCACGCCAGACATCTCGCAGGTGCGTCGACAGGACAAGGACGGACGAACACCGACGACGACGAGGCTGTGATAGACCGCTCGACGGCGAACTCGGGATTGATAGGCCCACCCACGTACGCCCACAGGACATATCCGATGCTCCAGAAGACCGGTTGTGCCCACCTGACACTGATGAGACCGACGCTGCTGTTCTGCTTCCACTAACTCGCTCGATCGGGCTCCAGCGTGGAATACCGTGACATGCTCCGAGTGTACGCGGCTCAAGCCTACCATCGTTCACCTTTCGATGAAGGTGAGTAACGTAAGGTGCTTCATACAGATATCGGCGTTGCATTATAAGTCTACAGTGTGTGCACGCAATGAATAATGATAGTACCTCCACATTGTGTCCTTTGACGATCCAGAATTTACGCCATCTCACCCGCCCACCCACCCATCTCCCTATCCAGCTTCCGCTCCCACCTCCGCCGCGCTTCATGCAGACCAAAGCTAAGCCCGGCAAGGCACAGCAACGTCGTCATGTCCCCCGCGCCCAGCGCCTCCGTCTGGAATATCGACTGCATAAACGGCACGTACACGAGCGCCAGCTGAGAGAGGAAGGAGATCGACACGGTGGTCAGGAGCATACGGTTCGCAGTGAGCGAGCAGGCGAGGCCGCGGTTTTGCAGCGCAGAGACCAAGTCCAGGAAGACGAACGACGTGAACGTCTAGCGGGAACTCAGTAAAGGGACGTCGCGCCGGTGAAGTGAAACACTCACCATGGTCTGTTCTCGTTTAGACATGTGATCGTCGGATAATGCATACGCGTATACATATAGGGTACCGATGACGATCATCGAGGCAGAGAAAAGCACTCTGTACATGAGGCGCCGGCTGATTATGGGCTCGTCCTTCCGTCGTGGTGGTCTACGCATAACTATAGGATCCACAGGATCGACACCGAGGGACTGGCTAGGAGGCCCTGCAAGAAAACGATTTTGAGCATCTCGTTGGATTCGAGTTACAAAGTGTCTCACCGTCCATGAGTATATTGATGAATAATATTTGCATCGCATTTAACGGGTTACTTAAACCAAACATCGTGCTGAGCGTAATCATGGACAGAGCTGCCGCAGCCGTGCTAAGTTGGAATGCCAGGAAATTTTGTATGTTATGGAATATTGATTTTCCTTCGCAAAGGTACGTCAGCGAACGAACCAAAACGCCGCCTGAGGCTCACCTTCTTCAACCGCAGGAAGGATCGTTGTAAAGTTATCATCCACAAGAATCATATCGGCAGCTTCTTTAGCGACGTCAGTACCGCTCTTGCCCATAGATACACCAATGTCAGCCATTTTCAGGGCTGGTGCGTCATTAACTAGGAGGCGACGTTAGCATGTCCGCCTAGGGAAATAGACCCTGCGTACCTCCATCGCCAGTCATAGCCACCACAGCACCTCTCGCCTGGAATGCCTCAACAATCGCCATCTTATGCCTCGGCGTCGTCCTTGCAAAGACGCTCACGCCCCCCACCATCTCCTTTAACTGGCCCTTGCTCATCCTATCAATCATCTGGCCCGTCAGGCAATAACTCCCACTTCCAGCCACAGCACTCAAAGACCCCGATCCGCTAATGCTACCCGCCCGGCCATGCATCGCGCGGCCAACTAGCAAGCCCAGGTCTTTCGCGATAGCCAGCGCGGTCTGCTCCGCATCCCCCGTGATCATGACGACCTGGACGCCAGCCTGCTGGAGGAGGCTGATCGCGTCCGACACGCCTTTCCGCGGGGGGTCGAACATAGCCTGAAAGCCGACGAAAACGAGGTTCGTCTTGGCCTTCTCGCTCTCCGGCGTGCCCGCTCGGGACGCGACGGAGGCCAGCGAGTTGGACGACGCCATCTCCGTCTGCGCGTCGACGGAGCCGTAGCCATACGCCAGGGCGATCACGCGCAGGCCGCGGCTGGCAGTTGCTTGTGCCTTTTGCAAGATCATGGCTTTAGTGGTGGAATCCAGCCCCGGTGTAGACCCGTCGGAAACGTAGTAGAATTTACACCGGTCGAGGATTGCGTCAATCGATCCTTTGATGTAGTAAAACTCCAGAGGCGAGCCATTGATGGTTGGACCTGAATACCCAGAGTGTATCCCGCTGACCGCCATGTACTTGACTTCCGAATTAAACGGTCTCTCCGACAGCCGGGTGAAGTTCTACGTATGCTGTCAACGTTCTGCATCATTTAGTGCGAATAGCACACGTGCCTTCCGAGGGTCATCAAGATTAAACGACGACAGGATGTTCAACAGCGCGACATCAGTTGATTGCCCGACGAACACGCCCTCCTCGTTGCGAGACGCAGACGCATTATTGCAGAGTGCACCAATCTCGAGAGCTTTCTTCACAGCTGCCGAAACCTGGTGGGCCGAATGGACGCGGGTAGCCGGGTCGATATGCACAGCTTCGTCCACTGTGTACAGCTCGGTGACAGTTTGCTCGTTCTTCGTGAGTGTCCCTTGTAGCACAGCGGTGAATACCACAAAGCAGCCACGCAAGACAGCCCATGGCTCTCACCAGTCTTGTCAGAGCAGATCACCGACACAGACCCCAACGCCTCCACCGAATGCAGCTTCTTCACAATCGCCTTGCGATTACTCATCCGCAGCACGCCCAGCGCAAGCGTCACCGTCGTAACGATCGGCAGGCCCTCGGGGATAGCTGCAACAGCAAGGGACACTGCGCTTCAGCAGCAGCAATCAGCCATATGACGCAGGCGCGGAGGGGCGGGGACGTTACCTCCAATGGTGAACATCTCGAGCCAGGAGCGCTGCTGCAGGACGCCGATGATGCAGATCAGGCCGATGATCCCGAAGGAGAGGATGGACAGGTTCTTGGCGAGTTCGTCCATTTTGAGTTGGAGGGGTGTCCGGCGCTCCTCGACCTGTGGAGGAGTAGATAGATAACATAACTTCTGACTCCTGGGATGAGATTTGCTTACGTCTTCCATCATCGAGAATATGACACCAAACTCGGTATCCTTCCCTGTAGCGATAACCGTCCCCGACCCTCTCCCTATCATCCTGTCAGCACATTATTCCACTTGCGAATAATTTAACAACTCACCATTCCTAACCAGTGTACCCATATAGGCAATACACGTCCTGTCCGCCAACGCCGCCGGCCCTCCCATCCCGCCAGACACGCACGTCTCCGCATCCTTCCTGCGGCTTGTCGTCTCGCCTGTAAGGCTGCTCTCATCGATCTCGAGGTCCACGGCGGAGATGAGTCGTACGTCGGCGGGGATGCGGTCGCCGGTGGTGAAGGTCACAATGTCGCCTGGGACGAGCTCGTTGGCGAGGACGGTCAAGGAGTGGCCGTCTCTGAGAGGGTGAAGGGACCGCAAGGTGAGCGTAGTGCATGATTATGAGGAAGAAGATACGTTACCGGATCAAGTGACAGTGGTGAGGAACGAGTTTATTCAAAGCCTCCAGACTCTTTTCTGATCGTCGTTCTTGGACGAACCCGACTGTACACATTCAACATTTGCCATGAAGTACAATTCCGCACGAACACTCACCAGTCAACACGATTAACACCGCAACCGTTATACTGACCGCATCATCAATATTGCCCATAATAGCACTGATAAAGGCACTCCCGCAGAGGAGCAGGATTAACGGGCTTTCGTAGATGGTTTTGGCGAACTTTATGTACGCTGGCTCTGGCGCTGAGACGGAGAACTCGTTGTACCCATACTCTTCTCTCAGCGCGGGTATATGAGAGGAAGGAAGGCCTTCGGTGGGGGAGGTGTGGAAATGAGAGATCGTATCCTATGTACCACGAATGTCAGACTTCCAGGCGTAACCGCCGTAATCTCGCAGCCGTGTGTTGCTTTATGAAACTCACCTCTGCTGAGATATGGGCGAACCGGGCTGAGGGAGTCTCCTCGTGAGGCTCTTTCCTCAAGCCGTTGGCATACCCGTTCCCGTTCTCCAGGTCATTCTCCTGACCTCCCAGCCGACTTTTGACGAAACTCACAGCCCTATTCCACAGCCCCGACGGCCCTTCCTGGCTGACAACTGAGCCCAGAGACCCTAGAGTAGGCAGCGACCCACTAGCACTCGGACCAAACGGCTCGGTGTGGTGCCTGCGCAGCGTCGTGCTGTACGCGAAATGCTCAGCCGCACCTGGCGACGGTTCTGGTTCGTGGCCATGGTCTGGGGGAATGCTAGTGAAATAAGCCGACGCTGGCGGCGACGGGCTGCGTTGCGCGTATGGCAGCATCGTTTGCGACCGCCCAGAGAGCGAGACGTGCGAGAGTCCGTAGGAGCTGGACGAGGACATGGGGAAGCCGTTGCCCAAGTCCCTGGCAGGGGATTTTCTGCGTTCGTAGCCCATTATAGCGTACGTTTGGGATAGTGCGGGACCATGAACTGTCAGGACATAAACATAGCCTTCAGACTTGGGCGGATGCGCTGTCAGCGTGTCGCATTAGACGCGACTGCGGGAAACGCGCGAACCTTGGCGCGGACGCGTCTTGAATCCCACCGTGCTAACGTTGTCCTCGACATTTCATAATTGCATTAATGCTGAGACACATGCACCGTAGAGTACTAATGCATGCGAGCTGGACCCGCAGAAAGCGAAGCGAAAAAATCCACGAAATTCACTTAGTAGGACGACCGCCACTCAGTCGGATGCGTATATCCAGCTCATCCTCCAGAATCGCCCGTCGGACGCTCATCTCTTCCGTACGGCTGCCCTCCTCTTCGCCCAGTTCTGGAGAGCCGGACTCGTACACGTCCTCCTGGCTTTTCGGCTTCGGTACCCTGCTTGACCTTCTTGGGGTGCAAGACGGCTCGCGTTTATGGGCGGAGGCCTCTGGGTTATCGAGTACTGGTCCAAGAGATGGGCTGACACTTGTAGACTGCTTGACGCGTTTGCGTTTCTTATTGCGCTGGGGTGTCCTCGTCGCGGTCGTAACAGGCGCACCACCTGACAAACCGGCAAGGGACCGGTTGAATTCGTGGTCGTACCATATACACTCCAGTGCCCACACCTCAATGGCCTGTTCGGATTATATTAACGGTTATGATCAGGTAGTGATATTCGAGACATGCCTCATCGCCTCTTTCGAAAGCGTCTATGACATCTTCCACTGTCAGGCCTGCAGTCGAGACAAGCCCGGTCTTGATTTCTTCGACCGTGGCGTTAGTGACAGGTCTGGACTGTTTCCGCAAGTAAATCCTTGCCCGGATCGCCACGTAGTGTGGCGACTTTTTCGCCTTGAGAACCTTCGCCGACCACCACTCCTTCACCTGAGGGTCCGCTCACTTTCAGTTTCAACGCTTAAACCGAGAGCAGTCAAACCCTACCTTTGGTCTCTGAGCCCTAAACTCCGCCGCCGAAAAACGCCCAACATGCCGGAAAGCATAGTCTCCCAGATACTCCCATCCAGCGGTCTTCTTCTGCTGTGTCCTCCCCTCCTCATCCTCCACCTTCACGGTCATCGACCTGGGGCGGAACACCGCCCACCACGGTCTCTCCGCCAGCTCCATATGCATCGAGAACAGGACCCCCGGCTCGCCTGGGTGACGCGGCATATACGGATTCCGATCCAATTGCGGCCATACAACGCCCCACGTCGAGCCGTCCCAGTTCTTGTTCGCGGGTAGTCTCGAGCCCGGCGCGGGTGTGATAGGTACGAGGAACTTCATGGTGCTGCCCTTCGCGGCGCGGCTGAAGGCGAGCCGGGTGACGAGGTTGCTCCCCGTCGCCACGGGGAGGGGCTTGAGGCCATCTAGGTGCCGGTTGAGCGTGTCGCCGGACGCGACGATGGTTTCTTCAACTTTGATCCGGACGGGGGTCTGCACAGGAGAGTCAGAAAGGGGAAGCTGGTGATGGTTAAGGAGGTCACGTACACTGTCCATTGTATCCCTTCCGCGGAGGCGGAGAACGGGGCTGGCAGCCCGGCTCCCTTCCTCCTCAGAATCCGTCAGGTCCGTCAGCTCTGAACCCCATCCATCCATGTCCTGGTAAAACAAATTTGACATGCGCTATAGAGGCAAGATACCGGGACCAAGATATGAACTCACATCGTCAACCCCTCCACCTGGCCCCGCATCAGAGAAGTCGACAGAGACAGACCGGCTTGACAAGGGAGTAGGCGGCAAGACGGGGTCCGAGGGAGACTGAATCGCGAAAGCAAGCAAGTTAGGTCCCTTGCAGAGCGAAACGAGACTTCTCCAATGTACCTGCGAACGTTTGCGTTTCAGAGAGAGCGATGGCGGGGGCGGGGGCAAACAGTCAACGGCAGTGATAACAACTTCGTCTGCGCCGTTTAGATCCTGAAGGACCGTTGTCACAGGAACGCTAGAGTATAGAGAAAGTGTAGGTCATACCATGCCGTCCGGTATGAACCTTGAGAAATCGATCAAGTCCTCTGCTTTCGCTTCGGATTCAGGCTCGGCACCATCTTGCGCTCGACTCGTACCGCGAGAGCTCTCCGAGTCCGCGTCTCTGTCCAATGCACCGATCCTGGACGCTGGTCTCGGTTTGGAACGTATGGTTGAAAGCTAGATACCATTGGTTTAGCCTGCATGAAATGATTTGTAGAACACAAACATCACTGTCATCTTTGCGGATAGCGCTGGCACCCTCTCCATTTTCCTATGTGTATGTTAGGTAGGATCAGTTCGATAGAGCGCTCAACTATAATTTACAAGGCCTACCTTCTTGATAACTGGGGTCTCATAGTCATCTGCAGGTAAGTCAATCACGCCATCACCGCTGTTCTGGAGAACACTGGATGGCTGGTAGCTATTAGCGCTCGACGGTATGGGCTGTCGCCATGCGAATGCATTGGCAAAGTGAATCGGGCGTTGAAATACCAAGACTCTCTCAGTCTTCCACCGGGCTGACGGAGGACCATTCGTGCTATTCTGACTACGCTCTAAGTCAGATACTTTCAGTTCCAGTCGCTCAACCTTCGTCTCGAGCATCGTTGCCTTGTCTCGAAACTTCACCATTTCCCGGTGGAAATGGTCACGCTGCTTTTCCACTTCACGGATATCTGTGCTGAGGCGAGAGGCCTGTTCTTGCCAATGCAACTTCTCCTGGACAAGAGTTTTCACGCCCTCTAGCTCTAACATGACGCGAGATTGCGTATGAGAAAGGTCAGCGAAGTGGGGATACAGATGGATAGAAAATCCGAATAACAACGATTCCGACGAAGGTTATAGTGTAAAGGTACCGAGGTGGCTTCCGCGCTGAAATCTGAGATTCACACACATGTACATGTACATCGGCGATTGTGACACTGGCCAGGGTACAACTGCTACGCATACCGAGAAGTCAATATAACAATGCAGAATACATTGTACAATAAGGAGGAGTTCTTAATAATCTTGCGATCACTGGCGCATACTAGTATATTCGACGTCAAACAAATGTCCGCCCATTTGTTAGGGCTCGTATTCTGATCCATCATCGGTATCCGAATGGAGACTGTCGTATGCGTCCGGGTTCGTGAACAAGGCCTGTAATACTTCGTCGAAAGACGTGCATTCCAGTGTTAGCACATGGACTACCTTGCAGGGTGTCAGGCAATCGCGGGAGGAAGATGCTACGGACACACCTGTGCGCCGGTCCTGAGAGCTTCATTTGCTGCGGCAAGACTGGAGTATTTTCCGGTCTGCAACATACGGTCAATCAAGCTGTCTCGTACCTTACAATAGAGGTGTGAGATGTCGTTGCTGCAGGGAGAAAATTGCATCCTACATCGTAAGGCATGGTCTCCGTTTCACTCGTACTCAGATCGCCAGCATGACGCAAAACATAGTCCCCCATGTACTCCAATACCGAACACGGCCAAGCTCTTGACAGACAGAATATTGAGTACATCTGTCTTTGCATCAGATCCAGATCCAGGGCAAACACGAGGCCAGGGCTACCGGGGTCTGGCGGCATATCGGGGTTTTCTAAGAACAGGGCGTACCATGGTGGCTCGGTTCCGCCATCATTGTGCCGAAGGATTCTGGGGCGAGGAAGGATAGAGGTCAGTTGGTCCTGCACTGTGCAAGGCCACAGTTGTTGGAACTTTGGGAGGGACACAGGAGTACTATGTGGAACAGTATGCAGTGACTTAAGACCCTGTAAGCATGTCTCTGCCTGTCCAAATGTCATGGTTGGCAGGACACTATGGGTAAACATGGATCAATCCAGTGGTCTTTATATGTAAGAAGGGGAGTTACCCTAGAGGTTCTATCAGCAGATGATGCAACTTGTGGTCTGACTTGACACCCGGACAGGGATGGATGATGAGAAACAACAGGAGGAACACCTTGACTTGCACCTGTCACCTGCTTATCTCGAGCGGCTACTGTCTTTGGAGGAGGCACCAGAGAAGCAAGCGAATTGTTCAACTCTCTATCATACTTCTGGCATTCCATCACCACAATTCGGCCACTCTGCAGCATGATGTTAGATATAAGTAGCCAAGCTAGGTATTTCATACATACAAGCTGGCAACCTTTGAATGCCTTTTTCAGATGTTGCACCATCTCTGTTGAACAAGAGCCTTTCCTCAACCGAAACCGCACAATATGTGACGGTTCTTCATTAAGATGTCCAATAGCATGCAGAGCGTAGTCTCCAAGGTACTCCCATCTCTTCAGATCCTTGACACTATCAAGAGAGTGGAATACTGGATACAGTCCCTCTGAAACCAGACCCAGATCAGGTACTATTATCAATCCAGGCAAACCTGGCTTGATGGGGAGCCAGTGCTGGCGGCCAGAATGCAGGAAAAGAGCTTCCCATTTGGACTGATCTCTGTTTTTATCCGCGGGCAATTTCCCAGAGGAGGGATAAATTGTACCTGTGTATTTTGAACGATCCATTCGGCATATTTGCGCGAACTCTGCGTGGATGAACAGCTTACTGGGCTCTGAACACTTTCAGGAAACTTCGAATTGGATCTTCAGGCGGATGCATAGTTGCCTCGTTTGGTCCACCCTGGAGAAACGAGCGCCATGAGTGCACATGCAATGGGACCTAAGCTCGGTGAATATGCCGAGTTATTGCTTACTTGATTTTGAAACTCTTCGACCTCTTGAGAAGGCGAATGACGATTGGATACAGCAACTAGAGTCAGCGGAACATCTCCCTGCACCACCTGCGCCATAACCAAGCTACTTGGACCGGAATCATGGGGTTTTGAGGACAGCTGGTGAGAATTAGAGACAAAGAGAGACAGATTAACATCTCTGTGCATTGCTACCGCCGTCACTGCATCGGTTTCTCCGGAGCTCCCGCACACCTGCCCAATCACTTGTGACGCCGAAGTGGCAAAAACAGCCTGGCAATGTCATTCAAGAATCAAGGATTCCTCGAGTCGTAATGGACCACTTACCGTATGAGCCACACATGGATCATTAGCGAGTACCGCAGGGATACTGGTGCTCTGGCTGCCTCCTGGAATAGCGAGTTGAGAGGATGACGGACGACTCCTTGCAGGAGCGGATACTTCCCCCGCTGGACCCTAGGAAAATATATGTTGACGAATCATACCATTATAAAAGCAATACTACATGGACATACAGGCGCACGCTTTCGTTCATTATCAGTCAGCAGAGCACAGGTCTGCTCGTTCGCGGGCAGGGTCTACACGCATCATAAAGGACCAGTTTCAGTGAAATGAACGGATGTGAACGTACACTGAGCTGTGGCGTTAACCCTCCACGGGAAGGTGTAGAATGATTCATTATGCAAGTACTTGATGTATTTTTCTCGACCTTGACCCGCCTTGGTCGAGGGGGGATGATCTCCCGAAGCAAGCCGCTCGGTATCAATAGGAGCAGAAGGTCGCTCAAGACATAATACAGTGGAAGGTTCTTTTGCCGAAGTACCCACTGGTGTCCTCTGTTCAGAGGATGTTCCATGCTGGGAGATGGACGACTACAATTTAAGATGTAAAAGCAACCAGAATACACTCACACTTACACTTTGACCCACGACCGCCTGCCACGATAGCGAAGACGCATGAGCGGGGCCACTGCGTGAAACTGCGGCATCTATATCACCTCTCGGTCGTTTAGAGACTATGGGTCGGTCTTCCGGCACTTCCGTACAATTCTCAGGAGTCCTAGGTCGTTTAATTTTCGCTAGCGTCGGGGATTCCGCCCCACTAGATCGTGAGGAGGGCAGTCCATTGGATGCCTGGACCTACGCTGGTGGAGATGGAACTTAGCTCGAGGAGTGCGAGATACATCGAGAACTTACAGAATCGCTCGCTGTAAAGTCCAACGCTGGAGGACGGGCGACAATACTGTCCACCACTACCTCCGACATGGCATCTTCCACCTTGGCTCGTGCTGCAGCCGGTTGACTATCCAATACCAAATTCGCTGTACTCTTCACAGCAGGTGGAGGAGCAGGCGGGACAGCATCGGGGAGCCTCGTCGGCTGAGCTGGTATGTTCATCTGTAGTTTCAGCTATATATGAGATTAGCGATTGGAAAGATAGACACTGAAGGCATCTGAACTCACGGGGTTACTCGTCTCCTCAGTAGACTTGGCCAGTGCGGACACCGGCGAAGAATGCCACTGAACGGACAGTGTCGATACTGATGATGCAGCGGGTACGTGGCTTTGACGGGCAGCGCTAGGACCAGTTGAAGAAGTGCATGAGATAGCATGCTGCCCGACGCCTTCGCTATGTGTTTGGGGGTTTCTTCGTACCCCTTGAGATGATAAGTAACAGTTATCGTACAGCGCAACCTAGCATTGAGTGATATTCTCACCACGTGTCTGCTGGTCTGGAACATCATCAAGCGTCAGGTCGATGACTTCCTCTTGCTTGATTTTAGGATGTCCAGGCGCTGGCAGCTGTGTCACGATCGAGGCAGAGGCATGGTCCTTCTGCTCAAGATACTCAACCTGGTGCTACTGTATCAGATACCGAAGATCCTTACACTCGAATCCGCTGTAGCTGTGGTGCTCGTTGATAGTGCTTTTCTTCCATCAGAAGTAGTGGTTGCGCGAGCCAGCCTGGCACTCTCTTGTCGAGCTGCCCTCAGTGACCGTTCCAAATTGAAACTAGTGACTTGGAGCCTCTCATTCTCCGACTCGAGTCGGGCTGCTTTCTCGCGGTGTCTCATCATCTCTGCCATGAATCGATCCCTCTGGTTTTCCACCTCTGCCAAGTCTCTTCGGAGGCTCTCATTCTCGTTTTGGAGATCCTCGAGCTCGCTTGAATGATCCATACTAGGCAGCCTTGTCAATAGCTAGAATTTAAATGGAGACAGCGCAGTAGATCCAAGTCAGCCTGAACCTGCCGACAGTCGCCTGCGACGGAAGATTCATTCAACGCAAATTCAACGGAAGGAAGCAGATAGGGTGGTGCGAAATCATGATAAGCCGGACATTCCCGAATGTCGGTGGCAGTGCCCGACGAGTCAAGTTCCTCAACATCGTACGAGTCTCCACGGCCTGAAGTTGCGACGCAGAAATAGCCCATACCATCCGTACAGATGTCAGTACCCATCTGGTGGAGTGACACATACGACCGATCTGTCCATTCGGTACGTCGCAGTCGACGGACCTTTCTGACTCTGTCCGCTCTAGCCTCTAGGGCTAGAGACGGGGGAAATGCCTCAGCGACAATGGAATCCACAATGGCTTGGAGGATGGTTCTGCTCGCGATTCGGGATACCTTCGGGCTGTCATTGGGGAATTCTCCTCGAAATGCGAACATTCGGTCATTATTATCGCTGGCAACCAACGACCGCAGTTGCAGGATTATTGCATTCATTAAGCACTTCTAGCACTTAGTCTGCTCAGGACACATCGACAAAGAGGTACCAGCCATGTTAATCAAAGTCCCCTTCTGAACTTGTAGTACCAGGCTCATATTCGGAGCCATCGTCGTCAGTCGTATCATGGTCATCACTTTGACTACTTCCGTCATTCGAGACATCCTTTCCATCCTCCCACACAAGCGATTGATGGAATTCTTCATCAAACTTGTGCAATTCCATGGTTAGAATATGGATGAGCTGTAGACACATCAGTATAAGCGCTCGCACCCACAACACCTCACAGGGCCCGCACCTGCTTTCTCGTCCTGAGGGCTTCCATAGCAGTTGTTAGTCGCACACTATAATGCTGCTCGGATATTCCACGTTTCATCTTCTTCTCTAGATGGTCCGCCAACTTTGATTTCACCTAAAAGGAGGGGATGAGCGGTATAATCATTGAGAAATGTACTGAGACATACGAAATGCGGTAGACCATAGAATTCAGCCGGAGAAAGGTCACTGACGTGACGTAGAACGTAGTCGCCCATGTACCTGTACATGTTTGGACGGCCTGCTCGGACGCGGCGGAACACCGGGTACGACTGTTCCTGCACCGATGCTAGATCAAGCCTGAGTACACAACCGGGACTTCCTCGCTCAGCAGGCATCCATGGATTGAAACGATCTTGCAAGCATAATGCCTGCCATGGAGAGCGATCTCTATTCTTGTTTCCCGGGAGCGCTTTACCCTTGGGACGATAGGTAAAAATATCTGTGTCCTTATTACAGAAGCATAGGTGGGTGAGGTCCGAGTGCGAAATATCATTGCTATCGCCGCTCACGACGACGCTGCATAGATTCCGTAAGAACGGTTGCAAGCGCTTCGCCATGTCCACTCGTGTACCTCCCTTCAGTCGAAAATTTGGTGTATCAGTATCATACTCGCTCCAGAGATAAAAGCAGCTATCCGTCCTTACTTCAGTTGGAACCACCGGCCCACTGGTGTGATGCGTCATGACCTCAGGATCACTGCATCAAGGAATATGAGGGACATCGCTGGTGAGCGGATGACTATAGCCCATTACCTGAGGTGATCTTGTAAAGGCGCGAGGGAGGTTGCGAACTCTTCATCATAGCTTTGGCATTCCATCGCGAAGACATGAATCACCTGATTGACAGCACATCAATAGCATGAACCACGAAGATAGATTGGACACACCTCCTCACTAGTCTCAAAAGCTTTCAGGGCGACGTCTTGTTTAATAAACCCCAGTTTTGATTTTAGACGCTCCCGCGCATGTTCGTATTCCGGGTACGCGACCGACTTTGCAAAGCGCCTCGCGAACGTATCTTTTACCTGATGGAAATCAGTCATGCAAAACTGCGAAGAGAGGTTACTTAGACGGTACTTTAGGGCGCAGACTACGGAACTCGGTGGGAGTGAGCTGGCCAACGTGACGCAAGACATAGTCTCCCAGATATCTGCGGATGCTGCGTCCACTCACGGGGCAGAATGTAGGGTAGACGTAGTTTTCCTTTAAGTCTCGACGCAGGGATAAGAATAGACCAGGCTTCCCAGGTTTCCTGGGCATCGCGGGATTGTCATCAGCTTTCAGGAACAGAGCATCCCAGGAAGCAAGCCGGCCTCGGCTCTTGGTCTGAGGCAGTTCGTCCTTCCATGGATAGATCGTTCGTAGGGATTCCTTGCTTTCATGTGGACACAAATTGGAAAACTTTGCAAGTGCAAAGACGGTGTCGGCTTTGCGGTGATTTACGTGTAGGGTCTTAACGTCCCGCAAATACTTCTCCATGTAAGCAATGGAAGCGTCTTCAACATTCGCCTCGGATGACTGGAACTATGGAAGGGCCAGATATTGGTGGGGGTCCACAACCTTGAGTTAGAAGTGAGTTAAACCTACTTGCGATGATTGGATACTTGAAGAAGAGCACGTAGATCCTGTTGTTGGGTGTTCTGGGCGCGAGTCCCCCTCAGCTTTGGATTTCTTCCCTTCAGAAGGGTCGGCTTTCGCAGTTGGCCCTGCAGCTTCGGGAGCAAGTCGAGCTGTATCGCATGGCAAAACGCTTGAAGCAAGCTTGTGCACGGTGGCTGCCTTCGGGGTCATCAAAGGTGCTGAATGTTTCTATAACGGCCGACTTAGATAGACGATCAAGAACGAGAATTAGCGCTCACACTATTCTTCACCGCTATGCTTTGCCTGGCAGAAGACATGACGGTGCCTGCATGTTGTATATCTTCCTCTACCTTGACTCTTTTGGCCGCGGGAGCACCGTCGCTCGAAGCCAGTGTCGTAGGACACACAAGCGCAGAGACTGGCTTATGACTCCGCAGATCCGGAGGCTCAGGCGTCCCTTTCCTCTCTGGCGGCTCCTGCTCAGCGTACCGGACATTATGGGGTGCAGATCGTGACTAGTTAGGTTGGGACCACCATATAGAGTGTAGTCTCACTCACACTTTGAAGCGCAACCGCATCTCGCGGCAGCGAAGGTGCAAAACCATGGTCGAAGCGTGAGTCAGGACTTTTTGAACCACCTCTGGGTCGTTTACTGGCTCTGTTTCTGCCGTTCGACAACACTTCCATGCTATCTGCAGTTTTATCAGGCACTTTAGAATTGGTCAGCGTGGGAGACTCCACCCCACTGGATCTTGAAAGTGACACCAATTCAGTAGGTGTCTGCGCCTACGACGACGGAGATGGAAATTAGTTCGGAGAGCGCCAGAGGTATGGGAGGTATGGACACTTACAGTCTGGTTGGCTGCAAAGTCCAACACGGGAGGATAGGCGACGATGCTGTCCACCACTACCTCCGAGCCCGCGTCTTCCACCTTGACTCGTTCTGCAGCCCGTTGACTGTCCGGTACCAAAGTCGCCGTACTCGTGACAGAAGACGTAGGAGCAGGCGGAACGGCATCGAGAAGTCTCGTCGATTGAGTTGGTATGTTCATCTGTAGTTTAGGTTTCATGTGGCTTAGCGATTGACAATGTAGACGCAGAAGGTATCTGATCTCACGAGTTTACTCGTCTCCTCAGGAGACTTGGCCGGTACTGACGCCGGCGAAGAGCTGCGTTGAACGCCCAACGTCGATACGGTTGATACAGAGGGTGCATCGTTTACCAAGACAGCGCGGAAGTCAGCTGAGGATGTGCCCAGGACAACATGTTGCCCGCTATGTGCCTGCGGTCTTTTTCGTACCTCTTCAGATAACAGTCAATGTCATTGTATATAGCCAAGCTAACACGGAGCAATGTTCTCACCACTGCTCTGCTGGTCTGAAGCATCGTCATCCAGCGTCAAGTCGATGACTTCTTCTTGCTTGACTTGATGAGGGTCATGCGGTGATTGCTGCTTTGGAACCGAGGCGAAGAATTGGTCTTTCTGTCTAAGGATACTTAGATTTGTTCGAGTCCATCATACAGTGGAACATACGTTCACACCTGAATCCGCTGTGGCTGATGCGCTCGTCGACAGTGCATTGTTTTCGTCGGAAGTAGTGGTTGGGCGAGCGAGTTTGGCCTTCTCTTGTCGAGCGGTCCTCAGTAACCGTTCTAGATTGAAATTGGTGACTTTCAGTCTCTCGTTGTCCGATTCGAGACGAGCTGCCTTCTCGCGACATCTTATCATCTCCTCCATAAACCGATCTCTTTGCTTCTCCACCTCAGCTAAGTCTTTCCGTAGGCTTTCATTCTCATTCCCAAGATCTTCAATGATTTCAATCTCGCCTGGAGCATTCATGTCTCACAGTGTACCTTTATGGACCTGGAGGGATTTCAAGCTTCGGGGAGCGAATCGTGATGCAATGGCAATAATGATGGCCAGACGTAGCACAAGCCGGATATTTCCGGAAAACGCTCGCGTCTTGCAAGGCTGGGGAGGGGTCCGCTTCCGCGACGCATCGATCACTGCGGGCAGAGAGGGCATGCCAGGAACATCTCCCGGTTAGTGTTGTGCCTGGCCTGGCTTCAAGCCCGAGCCAGGCCAGGCCAGGCCCTATTTCAGCAGGCCCGAGCCAGGCCAAAGCCCTACTCAAGCCCGAGGACAGGGCCTGGCTTGGGTTGTCCGAAGCCCGAGCCAGGCCCTGCAGGCCCGGGGCTTTGTGGCACTGGCTAAATGAGCTGAACCGGACTTCAAATCACAGGTAAGTCACACCGTACCTGTTGTGGATTTAACCTCATGCATTCTAGCCCTATATGGGGCTGTTCTAATGGCTTACAGTACCCACACATATTTAAGATTGCGGGTTTGAGGCACACCGGTAACCTATACACAGTCCGGTGAGCATGTTGTGCTCTTCAGATGTATATAGGATCACTAACCTTGTACATAGTGGGCATTAGATGAAGTAGGGTGCGTAACCCCATGCTTGGTACGTCTCCAGTACCCATTCCTTCTCCAAGAATGGAAGCCCTGGCCTGAGCCCGAGCCAGGCCTGAGCCAGGCCAAAGCCCGACGCTAGGGCCTGGCTTGACTTGGTGACAGGCCCGAGCCAGCTCAAGCCAGGCCAAAGCCCGGGGCTTCGAGCCAAGCCAGGCCCTGCACATCACTACTCCCGGTTGGGAGAACACTTTCCTAGAATGGTCCTTGCTGGAGCATAACCTGGACATGAATCATGTCCTTTGATTGAACAAAGAAAGGTCTACTGTCCTCAAAAACCAGGGGACATTTAATCAATATTCTCCTTTCATTCATTCTGTCTGTATCATGTTATGCTATGGAGCATCCTATGAAAGTGCTCTCCCACCTGTGCTCTGAAAGACAGATGTCCGGTGGCGGGAACTGGTCCTTGCCCGCTGTGATCGCGATCGGGTGTCTATGTTCTTCGAAAGTCGAAGCAAGGCTATAAAGACTGAGAGCATCGAGAAGCACGTAGTATGCCAGGGTGATGGCTTGCCTGCAACGTATAATCAAACAAGTTGTAATGACAATAGTAAGTAATCGACGAATTCAGGTTTGTAGATAAAGATATGAAACTTTTTCCACCCCGAACTCGTACTGTCAGTAGGGACGTGAAGAAGAGGGCCAGAAAACAACACTGTGAGGTTGGTCGAGACCTGAGCCACACCTAATCACTGGGGCTCATATTCAGACCCATCATCAGTATCTGAATGCGGGCTGTCGTAGGCTTCGGGATTCAAGAGAGAAGCGTGTAGCTCTTCATCGAAGCCAAAACATTCCAGTGATAGGACATGAACCACCTCCAGGGGATGACAACGTCAATGGATGTCGTAGTCAGATGCCATGGACGTACCTGTTCACCGGTCCTAAGAGCTTTCCTGGCTTCACGGTGATCTTGGTATTTGTTGGTTTTTAATAGACGACTGATCAAATCCTCCTGTATCTGATGGGGAGTGGGTGATCTTATTACAACGATGCAGTTAACGCAGCTTACGCTAGATGGCAGGGTATCTCTTTCATCCAGACTTAGATCGCCAACGTGACGCAAAGCATACTCCCCCATATACACCACCACGTTGGACGGTTTGTCTACGAGGCAGAATAAAGAGTATCCCTGCTTTTGAGTCAGCGCGAGATCTAGGACGAACGCGAGACCGGGCATGCCCGAGATATCCGGTATCCAAGGATTAGATTTAGGGGATAAGAATAAAACATGCCATGCTGAGGGGTCTCCTCTGGGGTCCTCCAGCGGGGCTTGTGGGCGAGGGAGGCTGGCGGTCACCTGATGTCCCACGCTGCAATGCCATAGTCGTTGGAATTTGGAGACAGATAAAGGGGTATCATTCTGGATATCAGAGAAATCTTCGAGGTCCTTAAACCACGCCTCGACTCGTTCAATGAATGGCGTGGCCAGTGGTTCCTGCTATGAAGAGATGTATCAGCAGGGCATGCCGTTGAGGGTGAAGATAGCGCGGTCGGAAGTGCCTAGCTACTGCGGACCTCAGAGTGATCACCGGTAGATCCTGAAGCTTGTGCTCTGTCTCGTGCTCTGGATAGGGCCCACCCTAGATGAAACACGAGGAATGTCACAGGTAAGCAATTGTCATCAATTCGTGATCTGCTCACTCTTAGTAGAGTAATCTTCTCCGTATCGAGGCGCTCGAAACGGAGCGAAGGATCTGTTGAACTCTTCGTCGTACTTCTGGCACTCCATCACCACAATGTGACCCGACTGGAGCTGGATGACACTGTTATTCCTAAGCATCAAGATAGTAGATTCAGACTCACGGTCTCACAACTTTCAAGCACCTGTTTCAATTCCTGTAGCATCCGAGCTGAGTACATGCCTTTATCAGGCTCTGCCTGCACAGGAGGCGAGTGTTCCTTATTCAGATATCCCACGAGGTTCAGTGCGTAGTCTCCGAGGTATTCCCAGCGTTTGTAGACACCCAAAGCACGACGGAATATCGGAATCGGTGTCCCCAGGGGGAAGTCCAAATCGGGCACGACCACCAAACCTGGCACCCCTGGCTTAACAGGCATCAAGGGGTGGTGGCGCCCGGGACGCAGAAAGAGAGCAACCCATTTGGTCAGATCTCGGTTCTTATCTTGCGGTAACTTTCCAACCGAAGGATAAACAGTACCAATGTGTCCCGAGCGCTCCAGTCGACAGCCGTCTGCCAAATGAGCATGGAGAAATAGGTTGCTGCGAGAATACACACGGACAGTCTTGAAGTATGCCAAGAAACTCTTCAGTACATCTGTCCGTGCAGGGGCATCTACTGATTTTGTCTTTGGTGCTTGCTGAATAGCGAAGAGCGGAAGCTCCGTTAGTAAAGCCGCAAAAGAGTCGACTCCACGTGAATTGCTTGTCTGCGTTACTTACCTCGGGTTTTCGGCAGGACGAGCGGAGGCTGTATGCAGGACGGTGGGCACTGACAGATGCACCAGAAGATGTAGGAACATCACGCCGTGTCGCTCCTGCCGCAGCAGACCCACCCGTGGTTATTTCACGTTCGAATACTGGGTTGTGCATACTACTAGATGCAGAGGCAGAGACTCCATCGCAGCGCACAGCCCCCGCCTTTCTCCGACTGGTCTCTCCACATTGGGACGAACTCTGCGGAATCACTTGGGGTGCAGACGCAACGGTAGCGGCCTGGCGGCGGGTTTCATTGAATAATTGAACTGTGACGGAGTCGCCTATCGCGGCCGCCCTGGGCGCATCATCCCTTAGCGGCACACTTCCCTTGCTTATTTCCGGAATAACCCGCCGAGAGCATGGAGGTCGACTCTCCACAAGATCAGGTACCCCCGTAGCCGGAATCTGATGCGACATACATATATATTAAAAAAACAGTATAGATAGAATACGTCATAAACATACCGGTGCATGCGTTCTTGCACTCCCAGTTAGCGAAGTACCTAACTGATCGGCGGTGAGATGAGGCCACACAGATCAGAGCAGAATTGGTTTTGACGTGGATAGAATAATACGCACTTTGACCCCCTGCGTCACATCTTTGCTAGTAGACGTAGGCGTATTGATAGCGGATGCGCTTGATACATCTGGCGTGACCTTGACCCGTTTTGCGGAAAGTGTTTGTTCTGGACAAGTAGGCTCCATAAGGACAACAGGCCTCTTAAGTCCAGACTCATGAGGTGATGCAAGTGTCGAGTTGCTCTTTGATGCCGGCTCTCTTGATGTTGGGACACGCTGGGAGATAGTCACTTAGTAGGATGGCGCCCCGGCCGAAATGTAGTCGTACTTACGCTTTCACTCACGACAACCTCCTGCGGCAACGAAGGCGGAGAACAATGTTCAGCGCGTGGATTAGCATTTGTATCCCCTTTCAGTCGCTTAGGGGTCCTAGGGTCTCCCAACGGAACGCCCTCACGATGAACAGCGTTTTCAGGTCGCTTCAACTTCGTGAGGGAAGGAGACTCTACCCGAGTTGGTTGCGACACCTGCTCAGTGCACACTTGCGTCTACAATCGAGAAGGTTAATAAATCAGATCTGTAAGTGCGCGATGCATTCACACTCACTCTCGATGCCAAGTCCGGCACCCGGTTTGGCGTGATAGTCTTGATCACCGGTGCCTTCGAGACACCATGCTCCACCTTGACGCGGTTCGTAGCTGGATGACTGCCCTGAGCAGCATTGTCTGTACTGTCAGCGGGAGAACGATGTTTGGGCGATGTTTGAGGAGCAGACTGCCCAGCATCTCTGGATGTTGTTAATCTATTTGCCATGTTCTTCTGCATCGCAAGAAAACCCATATTAGTTCTTATGACCCACAAGATATGCATGCAGGGCCCTTGAACTGACGGAGTGATTGGTCCCTACCGAATATTTCAACGTGTCAAAGGCCGGTGAATGATTCATTTGAGCAGAAGAAGTCGATGCAGATGATGCAGAGGGTTGGTCATTCCGACAATCAGAACGGTGACCACCGGAGGAAATGGATGGGACTGGGTGTGCTGTGCTGTCGTGGTGTGTCTGAGGGCACCCATGTACCTCTTGATCTGAGAAGCATTGTCATCGTATATGGTCAAGCAAGCAAGGAGTCATATTCTCACCATGATTGTGACCGACGGAAGCGTCGTCACCTAGAGTCAAATCGATGATTTCCTCTTGCTTAACCTGGTGACGATGTTCAGGGCCTGGCAGTCGCGGCGTGACCGACGAAGGCGCATCGCGTATCTTAGCAAGGGATTTAGCACGGTGAGTTCGGATGTTATCATCATGATGAGACATACCTTTACGGTTGATTTTGCTGACACTGATTCGCCGATGCACATCGCTGTTCTCGTATCAGAGCTATTGCTTGATCGAACTAGCCTGGCGCTCTCTTGTTGCGCTGCCCTCAGTGATCGTTCTAAGTTGTAATTGGCAACTTGCAGTCTCGCGTTATCGGACTCGAGGCCGGATGCCTTCTCGCGGTATTTTATCATTTGTTCCATGAACATATCCCTTTGCTTTTCGACCTCGCGTAAGTCTCGTCGAAGGCTCTCGTTCTCAGCTTGAAGATCCTCGATCGTGCGTAGATTACTCATTGCCCAACAGTCTTCTTCAGTACCTTGGATGGAGGACGGAAGGAACAAATGAGAAAACTCTGAATGTATTTGCATGTGATTTGTCATTGCAGCCATGCCGCGATAGGCCATCACTTCAGAAAGTCACATATAGTCGGAGTGTGTCGGAATGGTGCCAGGGACCAACTAGGGACGTCCCGCGAATTAACAGAAATCCAAGTGGTCTGATGTTGGGGCCTCGGGGACTTGAATTAAATGATTTGCAAGAAATGGTTCCATCGAACTGCAAACGGCTGTGACAAGTTAGTCAGAGACGCGATTAAACCTGATCCTTCCGTCCCATCAAGTCCAGGCGATTGACAATGCACCGACAATGCACGCTACCGTTCCCCGCAAGATACCTGATTTATCTCGCTGAGCAATAAGTGAAACCATGCATGTTTCCGACCCAAGTCCGACTAGTGCTGAACCACACGTACGCAGTAGATGAACTAGTAAATAAGACGAAGGGCAACAATAATGCACGAGCTGGATAACAGGGTTATATAACGCGGCCCGATCTCCACTACTCGAATATAGGAAGGCACGATGTAAGTACATGGTTAATTCATAGACAATATTCACCGTACACCGCGATTTCAACAAGACATGTTCGTGCGGATTCGACATATTTGTCAGGACTCAGAAGAGGCTCTCATTTCCTATACGGCGCGCCATCCATCCTTTTCCTCGTCCTCTCAAATCTACCACTTCGCCTGCAGACGCTGCCGCGTTCCTCCCTGCCATCTTCTCTACCACAAACAAACCCGCGTCTAAACCAGAGCTCATATCGCCCGATATTACGATCCTAACCCCAGCGTCGACCCACCGCTTCCCCTTCAGCACCTCCACTTCGCCTCCAGAGCGCGCGCAGACCTCGGAGAGTAGGTCGAAGGATAGATGATGCGTGGTGACCTTCCTGCCTGCAGAACTTCCGCTGCACCGAGGATCACGGCATCCGTACACACGGAAAATAATACCCTATGATCCATTCGCGGTTGCAGATCTAGGAGCCGCCGAATAATATTCAAAACTGCTTTTCCCTCCGTGCTCGCAATAAGATCCGCAATGGTTTCCCAACCGCCTCCAGGGATGACCAAGACGTCAAATACCCGTGATGTGGGGATGCCGGACAACGAAGCTTCAGAGACCACCGTGAGCGTTTCAGTCCCTGCTTTCACGGGTGACGTATAAGAAAAGGTTGTGGTTTCAAAGGCTTTCCAGAGTCTGAGATGTGCGCGCCCATAAGAATATCTAGAGGGGCTCGTTAAAATCGAGGATGTCTGCCCCAGGATAGACAAGGACCGCAATGTTGTACTGGGCCATTCTTGTTCGAAGTGGTTTTGAGGGGCGCGATAAAACCAGATGGACGGTTTGAGGTCATATGAACTTGGTCGACTCACTGCTTCGGGTCGTAATTCCCGGACGGCCATCCCCTCTTGTGTGCATGTGTTTGTGCTGGGACTCTCACTTCCTTCCAATTCATTGTAACGCTTGATTTGTACAGGTAGTAAATTTGAGCCGGGCCGCGGCTTCGCAATCGCCCGTCTTCCCTTCCTAACTTGAAACTGTTGCGTTAGACCTTCTGATTTATGCGGGCTACAAAGTGTAGACAAAGTAGGCATTCCGTATTACCTGCAATGCTCCATGAGGAGGCACTCGACATATCACCACATTGTGCTTCTCATTTCCGCACTAGCAGACGGCATTCGTCCACCGCCCTCTAGAAAACTAGCGGACCGAACTGAGGCAGAAGGAAGGCATGTCCAGGTTCCTCGCGTAGTGTGGGACGGGTCATACAATATATACACGATAGCGAGTTTTGATAGCATGTCCGATAGCTAAACCAAGAACGATGAATAGAATATTACGAAACATTTATAAGAAACGAGATGTGGATCCAATTACGACATCCACCGTCCTCAAGGCGAAGGAGGCTCATGACTTTCCGGATCGATAGGGATACCACCTTCATCTAAGGGCCAGAAGGTATTTCGGAAGATATTGTGTGGATCGTACTTTTGCTTTAGCTCGCATAGTCTGTTCCAGTTCTCTCCAAAGCAGGATATGGTTCGGGATGCAGGCTCGTGTCGACCGAGGAACTGCCGAAATATGAGCCAAGGCGCAGACCAAGATTCTAGTCATAGTCACTCACGCTGGGGAAGGAACCGCCTACTGATACTGGAGCGAGTGTCTGGTTGATCCACTAGACACAACAAACAGAAAGTTAGACGGTGAAGCACGGGCATCGCGACGCTAATTACCTTCTCAGCGGACGTCCTGCATCTGGGATCATCGATTTCTAGCTCCCACTGATGAAGAGCGGCAACAGTCCACGTAGCTTCGCGCTGACTCTTCGCTATACAAGTATCTTCGAAATCTGCGATGGCGCCACCCGCAAGCTCAAACAGCCATGCTATATATCAATCGCGAGCAGCTTGATATCAGCCATCCTAGATCTCGTATCCAATTCTGACACTCACTGCAGCCTATCGGCGTGTCTGCGAACTGCATTACAGTCTTGTTGATTATTTCGTCCGGAAGAGAAGAAATAAGAGCCGATCGTATGAACCAATTTCTGCCAGCTGAGGCGGTACAAAACAAATCCATCGGTGAGATGTACAGTCGCATTAGCATCAAAACGCGTACCCTTGGCTCTCAGGACCTGTGCCACACTGTCTTGCTGGTCTATGAAGGCCTTCTCGCTCACTTCGTTCAACAGGCAAGTTTCGCCCTCCCAGCTCTCGATGGCCTGCAAGAACTCGAGCCCTTTCTCCCTCACACCGACATAGCAGAACTGGATCACCACTAACGAGTCCTTATCCGCAGGTCCGGCGGTGAGGAGTACGTTCGCGTATAGTTCGCGGGGAACGGACTTGATGCAATCGCGAAAGTGTCGGATGAGGGAGGGTGCGGTGGCTCGGTGGAAACGGCTATATGCGCAGGTCAGGTACTTTAGTCAATGAGGAGAGGATGTTCGGCTCGTACTAGATTAAGTTTCCAGCAAAGACCACTGGAACAGGGTAAGCTTTCGCCTTGTACCTCGTGACTATTCCAAAGGCGGGACCAGCGCCTCGTAGGGCCCACCAGAGATCTATAGCAGATTAGGCATTTCCTGAACGCAAAGCAAGAAGTACCGAGAGGAACACCTACCCGGATGACTATCTCGGTCAGCAACCACGATAGTGCCATCAGCAAGGACTACCTCCATCTCCACCACATTATCGACGCTCAAGCCGTACAACCTCGAAATGAAGCCGAAGCCTCCCAAGAGCATGATACTCGACCCAACAGGGTGTGCAGCCCTATGCAAATGATCAGTAACTCTGTCACGCATGTCCGGAATGAAACAACTGACGATGGTACATGGTATGGCACATCAACTCTCGAACCGCCGACGCTTCTGCCCTCCAGGGGGTTCCGATGGGTAAAGGCGTCCATGTCCTTCTGCATCACCCCCGCGCCGAACGTCACGTACGCGTGTTTGTGTACGGGCACGGCATGTGTCCGGTGAGATACTTCGGCAGCTCGGCGCAAGGGCGTATTGAGAGTCGGATCCGACAGTATCGCACTATCATCGGACGGGCCTGAGAACGGATTCTGGAGGGCGCTGGGCGGTAACCAGAGCGATGAAGTCCCGGGGCCGAAGCTACCTAGCAAGCTGCTACCAGATGGAGGTCCAGCGGGATTCATATACCCGAACGGATCTGCCGTGGAAGAACTGCCCACGCCTAGAGTCATACCTGACATAGGCCCCGTCGGAGTGCTTATATCACTGCCTGACCGCGGCCAAGCACCTGGCATTGCGAATGCAGGCGACTGACTCCCGCCTACAAAAAGCGGGGGCAGATTGCCCGCAAGGCCGCGGACACCAGAGGATTCACCGGCACCCTGGATGTCGACGCTGGATGTGCTAGTCATATAGCTGAAGGGATCTGCAGCCTTGTTTGGGCTGTCCAAATCGATACTGCCATCAGGGCTCGTGAAATCAGTCCCGCCGCTCGAACTTGCGACTAGACTGGAGTTGGAGCCACTTTGGCTCGAGGTCATGCTCGTCTCTGATTTGTTCGACTCTCCAGAGATCTGTCGAGTGGTCATGGGAAGAGTTTCGAGGTTCCGGTCGCCTCTGATATCCAGCGGGGGACGGCGCGGTTCCTCGCCCAGGGGATCTGGAGGCAGCGCGGGCCCGCGCAGGAAGGATGCGAGAGCCGGCGAGGCGTGGTCGTAGCTCCTCTGCTTCCTGGCGGGGTTCTCGTACTCGTCTTCGTCCTCCCCTTGGCGGCGGCGTTTGAGGGGGTTCGCAATCGGGTCAGCGACGGCAGATTTGCCTTTGCTCGAGGTTACGGGCATGTCGCGAATACTCGTATAGTCTTTCCACAGCCCGGAGTCCTCGATTTCGACGGGGTTCTGGAGTGGGGGTGCGATGTGGATGTCGAGGAGATTGGAAAGGTCGATGATCACATCGCCGTTGACCGCCCAGCCTGCGGTGCCATATCCGCCCGCCTTGACAGAGGGGGATAGGGAGTGCTTGATACATATTTTAAGAATACTTGTGAATAATATCAGCACTCATTCCTAGTTCTTTCGGAAAATATGATATCGATGCTTTAGAGGGAGCCAATGCTCTCTCGTCAGCACTGGGTGCCAGATTCTCATGGCATTCACTGTAGCAAATCAAGCATTCCACCAATAACGTCGACCCAAAACATGATCGAACCCGACTGACGGCACTTATGAAAGACCCTGAGAGGGTTAAAGCAGTGGGACAGGCCTGAATCGCGGTTCCGTTCAACCAACTGAAGCAAGAAGTGCCTCCAGATAGAAAGAAAGCGGAAGCATCGTGTTGTCGAGCTCACCTGCTGACATCTTGTGCATCCACTGGACAAGTGACGGCTTTTGCGTGGCATTGCACATTACCATTGAATATCTGCGAGCGACTGTTGAAGCTAAACGGGTCCTCGTCGGCTTTGTGGACAGAAGATCTTCCAAGCTACGCACCTGGGCTCCCCTCGTCGATATACTCCGCCTCGAACGCTGTCGCACAGCTCGGAATACCAACCCTCGCCGTCCTGCATGTCCCTTTCGCGGGCGCTTCTGGCTCAAAGGGCGACTTGCTCGATAGGGAGAACGAAGGGTACACTAGTGGACGTGTACCTAGATTTATATCCACGATCGAGTTCTGGTTCCATTTGTGTTTGTTGTGTTACTGACAGAGAACATCATTCATGAGGCGGCCGGGCCATTTCTATTCGTGGTGGTGGGGCATCAATGGGCTAATAGGGGCTATTTGGTCGTCGGTCCTTCGTATCATTCCGTCCACTCCACCACGCACGGCTTGCGCAGTCACTCTCTCGCCTCTTGGAAGAAGGAGAACCATCAAGGTGTTGGATGTTAGTTCGGAGCAGAAATCACCGATGCTTCAACAATACTGCAGACGAAGATCGTCGCGGATGCGGAGGTCAATCGACAGGATTTACCAGCATGCCCGCTGACACAGGTACTGTAACGGCATTTTGCTTCATATAATCTTATACTGTGCATAGACAGCGGACAGTCTGGGCCCACAACGCAAATCTCTGTGTTCGGTAAGGCGGTGTGGTAGTATGTCAAGAAATTTTTGAGGCTAGTACGGGTGCAGTTACTAATTCTCCAGCTTGGACCCTCCGGTCGATTTGATATCGTTGGTCACCTTTATGTTAAAGTCCTGCGCCTTGGAATATCGAACGCAAGTCAGGTACGTCCGGGCCCAATACCCGAGGTATCGTACGCGCAGTACGTTCGTAGAGAAATGACACCCGAACGTTGAGCATTGAGCCAGCTACATACCAAGGTGTCCAAGTCACCCCCTTCGTCCCGCAATATGTTGCATTGAGCGTGAGTCCTGTAATTTTCCGATTGATCCTAGCTTTGGTAGAAACATCATATTTCGACCAAGGCTAGGGTCTCAATACTGAAACAGCCGAAACCTCTTATCACCTGTACAGAACGATGCGATCTTTTAATCTCTTCTTTAGCTCGTCACAAATAGCACGGTGAAGGACTAAACAAGGCGGCAAGTCCGAATATGTCTCGCCGATCGGGATGACGTCGCTATCCGCGGTCGGGTTCAACCACCCTGCGTTGAAACGAAACCTCCCAGCCGGCGATACACTTATCGCAGTTACAGCCAACCCACTCGGATTTGAATCCACACCACATGCCAACAGACCTATCTCACAACGACTCACCGGACACTCTACTCGGGCTGTATTCCTTCCCCATCGACAACGGCTGGGCGCTCGCAGCCGCCTGCTCCTCTACGCCGTCTAAGCCGAAGCCATCCGCCTGCGAAGCTGCCCCTTCTCGTTCCCCATCGACATCTCCGACGCTCGTCCCCTCTTCCTTTCCCTCACCCAGTGTCAGCCCGGGCCCCGATTTACCATGGTCCGACTCCGATCCCGATCTCGACGCCTGTCATTGTCAAGAGCCTGACGGGATCGATTCGCTCGCGGACGCTTTTGCCCGCCTATCAGTGAGCGAGAAGGCGGAGCACCACTGCAAACCCCGACTCAAGGCGACGCCCAGCGCCTTTGGACTCGCGGCCCGGAGGTTCGACGGCGTGGGGGCCGCGGAACTAAATATGGGCCTTCGGGAGTCGATGACGAGAACAGAGTCGGCAGAGCTGGTCGAATCCCTTGACGAACTGCACCTACGTATAGGCGAAGGCGGGGAGCGATGGCGGGCTACACAGAACAACGATCGCGGCGAGCTTGACGAGGACGCGGCGGACAACTCCATCGAATGGGATGCTACAGGCATGGAATCCGCGGAGACCTTGGTAGAAGCTCAGTCGGGCACAAAACTTGAAGCCGACCACGCCTCAGAATCATACTCGCCGTCTCCGTTAACGCGACAATCTGTCGGCCCATTTTATTCTCCCCCAGCAATTTACACCACTTTGTATCTCCCAGTTCTCCGGACCCCATCTGGATCATCCTCGCTTTGCAGATTTGGTACTGTGCTCGTAGGTGCCGCACCAATCCTCGTTGGACACAATATTGTATTACAGAGAAGTAGACACAACTAATCCACATTACTGTAGCAACCTCGTAATCGTATCCTATCGCATCGTCATTTCATACACCTCGACCGAGCGTCCATTCTTCACTGTCATCTTGGAAGTCACCCCCGCCGCGGCGTATTCTGTACTCCCGCAGTCACATCCCTCAGCTGCCGCTTTAGCTCGCGCAGGCGCTCTGTGTATACCGCGAACGCCTGGTTGAACACCGATCGGCGGCGGCGCTCGTCCGCGAGACACTCCACCGCGCGCCGATGCTCGCGCCTGTATCGCGCGCGGAGCAGGACGCGGCGGAGCTTCGCGAGCGACATCTGGAGTGTGCAACCACCGTCAGCTTGCCAGTTGGCGAGGCAGGGACGCGCGACTTACGTCTAGCTTCCCCGCGATATCCGTGAACTTGCGCGCGCACTCCTCCAGCATGGTCGTAAAACCGTCGAGTCTAGTCACGCGCGGCGGGTGCTCTGCGTAGTGCGCCGCGAGGTTATAGTAGTTTCCAAGATTCCTGTCGTGCACTCGCGTCAGCCCGCCGAGGCGGTGTGGATACGGGAAACGAACGCGCACCTTTCGAGTGACGAGAGGATCTCGGCGTGCCGCGCCGACCACGAGTGGTAGGACTCGCTTGTCCCACCGCCGGCGGGCAGCGAGGACTCGTGCCGCGCCGTGTCTCGGAGGATGGTTTTGATCGCGTGCAGGGAGCTGTTGAGAGAGACGCAGGACGTCGCTACGACGCTGGCGATCCCTACGTCGCACGGGGTGAATACCTGTGTTTATCCCGCGCCTGAGCATTTCGCAGCGAACCGAGGATAGAATGCAGAACGCACGTCGCACAGAAAGGCCGTCGCTGCGATACAGTCGTCGACCCGGGCCGACAGATCCCTCGGAGAGTCGGGGGGTGTCGGGAGCTCCTCGCTCTTATCGACTTTTGCGAAGGATCTTTCGAATCCCTCGACATACACCTGGCGGCCCTTCCCCTTCCACGGACTGGACGGACCCGCCCGCCCCGCCGAGCTCGGCGCAAGCTCGCGCAGGAACGGGTTGCGCTGGGGACGGGACGGCGGTGTCGGCAGCGGGGAAAACCGCGGGGACGGCGGAGGCTGGAACAGCAGCCCCGGGGGCGTGCGCTCGAAGATGCGGCCGTACCGCCGCGAGCTGGGGCGTTTCGCGTCGCTGCGCTCGCGCTGGCGCGGGGCAGCCCCAGATCCCTCGCCGTCACCAGAAGGGGCAGGAGAGGTCGGTTGCTGGGTTTGTGTCGAGGCGGACCAGCGCGAGCGGAGGCCGCCGTCGTCGGGAGGCGGGGGGTGGACAGGACTGAGGAGGCTTGAGCGGCGCGAGGGCGTCTGCGGGACGACGGAGCCGTCGGCGGTGGGGTCGACGGAGCGGGGCGCGCGCGAGGCGTCCGCGGCTCGTGTGCTGTGGCTATGATAGGGTGCTCGGCGGGCCCGGCGGTGCGCAGACGCGTGCGTGCTGTTGCAGGTGCGTGAGTCGCGGGGCCGGAGATCGTCGCCGACGACGTCCATGTTGATCTTCCCGTACACTAGTATCGTGGGCATGGTGGTTCGTGTGGCGTGTGGCGTGAGGCGTGAGGAGGGGGCGAACGCAGACACCCCCCCCTCCCCCGAGCGGGTTATATACCACGCAGACTGAGAATCGAGAAGAGCCAAAAGCTGCGAACAATGCATAGCAAGTGAGACAGCAGGAGGTCCGTACAGCCTGCTAGCCGAGCGAACGACGTCGTGCTATCGAGACACTTGCCATTTGCGAGTATAACGCACGCGTGGGTATTCCGGATGGAGAGAGACGAGTGACGACGGACAAAGCAAGGAGAAGGGGAAGGGGAGCGCGTGCCTGGCCTAAAGGGAGGTTGGTAGGCATGCACGAAGGGGGGGCGCCACGCCACTCGGCGGCGTCGGGCTGGTTTTGCCGGGGTTATCGATGGTTGGGAAGCAAACAAAGGGAGGAGACGTGCATGGGTTTCTTCGATTGGCGCGCATGCAGCCACTGTGGCTACTGAGCTATGGCAGGGCCTGGATCGAGAGAGGGAGTCCGCGTGCGGAGGAGAGTTGAATCGTTGCTCATCCGAGTGGCGTCAGTAGGTGGGATGCGACACTATCAGCGGTCAGTTATTCGCCTACAGTTCTGCGATGCGGACTCCAGTAGTAGCGTTAGTAATAGCCTAGTCGAAAGCGAGTGATCCAGATTTAGTGACAAACGCAACTCGGGCAGTCAGGCTAGCTGTCGCGGACGACACCGCCCCGGCGTACACGGAAGCAAAAAGGGTAGCCTTGGATCCCTCTGAGCAGCGTATTGTGGGTTGCAGGGCAGAAGGACGCGGAGGGCCAAGATTTGTTGGACGAGGGAGGTATGCGTACCAGCACCTCTCAGCGGGTTTTTTTTACCTTCCTTCTCACTTTATACTGATTCCTAAAATATAGCTGTATATTGTCGCAATCAGCGAGTTTTGAGAGCTTAGTGATGCGGAATTCAGTCGTATGCGTAGCGATGTCCGACAGCACGCGATTCAGAGGAAGCATGTCCGACTACTAATACCGGGCGTGCAGACCTGAGACCAGCCCGCCGGACAGATGACAAAATGCTTGAACCCCTCAGAGTCATGCCATTATAGAGAGCAGGCTAGCGGTAGTTGTAGCTGCAGCATGTTTACGACGCACGCGTTCGAGAGCAAATCAGCCGGCAGTTATACTATAGGCGTGGCGAAATAGATCTATAACTGAGTTTGAATGACATAGTTCGGACTTCGAATTATTCTACTGTATTCGGTAGGTGTTCTCACGCTTGTGGCACCGCATGCACATGCCATCCTCCAGCCTCCCTACCTTTTCACGACGCGTGCAAGCTTCCTACTGAAGCGATCCCATCCACAACTGTTTGTAAAATGAAAGAGATATATTTTGTTGGAGAATTTGTCCGAAAATGCGCTCTTTTGCCGCTTATGGTGCTATTTCACTCCCAAAATTGGGGCTGAAGAGTTATATCTGTACTGTGAGATCCGGGACACATAGCTAGGTAGAAGTACTATAGGTGGGTAAGTGACAAGTGATTCATTAAGTTTGGGATGCATAAAGTGAGCGGCGCGACAGCGCCGACCGAAAGAAAAATGATTTTGACTTCCTAGGTTGCTTAATGTCTTGCG